TTCGAAAGCATTTACCAAAGACAAAAGAATTGAAACGATTGTACCACGTGTAAGTTTCAATGATTTCTTTCGTTATTTTCAACCGAATTTAGATATCTATTTTCCGCAAACAGGTAGGAGGAGATGCTGGATTGGTTATGGGACAACGCGTAGGTTTGAGTGCGAAAGATATTCTCAAACTTAAAGCTATGTACAAATGTGAAATTTCCACGATTAAACCCATATTTAATGTGAATGATGAGTCGGGTGGATGTAGCGAATGGGCGAATTCTCGAGATCTTTGTCACATACATCCGTGATACTCTTAACGAAAAACAAATAGTAATTATAGTTATTCTTCTACAGATATGATAATAATGATCGTTATATCTATTGATTTTCGAATCCAATGCTAATCTTTAATTTTTTCGGCATTTTTTTTTTCAGTTGACATCTCACGGGTAGGTCTTTCAAATTCGAAGTACATTTAAGCTAGTGTAAATTCGTAATGTAATGTAATTTTATTTTTGAATATTCGTTTTATATACAATATATACAAAATATTATTTATGAGATTCAGTCCTCTGACTATACAGTATTTGTAAAAAAAATTTTTTTGATAAGTTTGTTTTGTTGACTCGTTTCGGAAAAATTTGTGGAAAAGTTTGTAAAAAACCACAATATGACGGGATTTTAAATTTTTAAATGTTTTTGGTATTTTTGTTGTTTTATATTGTATAAATTCATTCGCGTATATTTTACGTAAAATCATTCGCGTGAATCACATTTAAAAAAAATCAAACCAAGAAAACATAGCAGATGCACAGAAAAAAGCAAAACAAACAGGGATAAACAAAAATGTTTCCCCTTTTCTTATGTATATATTTTGTTAAAATTACTAATACCATTTCAATGGCTAAGCTCATACATAACATTTCCATACAATGAAAGTCGCACATAGTTTAAACATTACTTTCATCAACAAAATACATTTACATAAACAAATGACATAATTTTCTTTTAATTTCAGTCGGTGCATGCTGGATAAATTCAATTTTAAATGAAAACCGAAATTGTAAAATTCAAGAAAAA